GCCGGACGTTTCCTCACCGCCTCCTGAGGACGGGGCTGCTTTCGCCTGTGTGGGCCGACTCCGGCGGCTCCCTCTGCGGGTCTTCGGCCTCGGCCTCCCGCTCCTCGGCCTCCCGCTCCCCGGTACCGTCCCCGGCATCGCCGCGCCACCTCCTCCGGGGCACGTCCGACGCCTTGTCGGTGCAAGAGCCGGACCAGCGCTTGAGCTGCTCCCGCCGCTTGGTCCTCGCCGAGTCCCCCATCTCCCTAACCGCGCAGGACGGTGTTTTTTAAACTAAAACATACGCTGGCGGGGACAGACACACCCTCCATGTGTACACTTTCACTTCCTGGTTCTTGCTCCTGCTCCGGATGAGTCGAGAGAGCCTCGAGAGTCGGGGGCGCGCGCGCGGCTCCGCGCGGAACCCGTCGCCGTGACGTCACCGCGCCTAGGGGCGAAAAGCAGAAATAGCTTTAGCGCCTGTGCGCATGCGCACACTGACTGTACTTCCTACTATTGTGTTTTCTGACAGTAGAAAAACTACACATCCTTCAAAACCTCCGGGTATTTATAGACCTGGGCCCGGTAGCGCTGTGATAAACTGCACTTGAGAGAGGATTTATGGCCGTTCTTTGTCTTATTTTCTGTGGGGGGGAAATGTTTTGTGGATATTTTGAGAGTCCAATTTACTAACGCCTTTTGCCAGGCTTTCTCATAATCTCATAAATTAGTAAAGGTGGAAAAAGGGGGTGGGAATCACGATTTTAACAGGCCTAAATCAAAAAAAATTCAAAAGCTGTAGGTTTGGGGATTATCATGATTGATAAGATGCAATCTTGAATATCCAGATGAGTCTGAAAATATGCAAAGTCGCGTTTTGGTTGCCAGTATTTGCACTTAAAAAAACTGCAAACTTTCCTTTTTGGACAGCACTCATAGAAAAGATGGATGCTCGTGGCCTTTAAGTTGTACTGTGTTTAACTCAGTGAGAATTATTGTGGCTGAATGCCCAACTACTGTTTCTAAAGTCTTCTTTTTTTATCTTTGCATTTTGATTTACTGCTGAAAAACACTTTGCATGCATTGAATTTATCTCCAAATTTTTTTAAATCACCGTTGTCCCAGAATGTTTGTTTATTTTGGGGGAAAATAAAAAATTAATCAATCATTTTTCAGGACCAGGGGGTGGAAAAAATCTAATCTCTAAACCAAGTGCATGCACAATTAGTTAAACACGAGCTGTAAAGAGCTGTTGTCTCTGGTTGAATTGACAGGAAACAGCCACAACAAGGGAGCTGTCAGAGGAAACAATGCAGGTTACATAACGCCTTCATGCTCAGTGGCAAAAGATGCTGCTTGTCGCTAGTCAGCTGCGTCTGAAATGTCAGAAAGTATAATCTAATAGGGAAGACTGCAAAAAGAAACATAGTCTGGACACAAGAAAAGCAGTGAAAAGCAAAGGGGCAGAAACAGGTTTGAATGCCTGTGAGCAAAGTTGAATTACTATTATTGCACATGACCGGCTTATTGCACCTGGTGAAGTATGAAATAAATAAATAATGATTAATGAAATGAAATGTCTGACAGAGAGATGGATTTTGAAGGGATGCCTACCTCGAAGTGAACCAAATCTATCATTGTGTTACCAAAGTTTAGATATCTGGATAATTATAAATATCTGGAAAATAACTAAAGACCATGATTGGGTTTATATCTCATTCTCCTCCACACAGTATTTTAGAATATGAAGGAAAATAATTCAAAAATATTTGTAAGGTATTTAGATGAAGGATGATCCTTGAAAAAATCATCTTTTTTCGTCTTTAGATGAAGGAAAATCATTAAAAATCAGCTTTTTAATCAGAAACAGAAATACTTTAATAATCCCGGAGGGAAATTGTTTAATTTAATAACTTCCCTCTGGGATTATAAGAGTACTTCTGATTCTCATTCAGAAACATTAATTGATTTGAGCCATTTAAAAGTGAACCCTGACCTCGTGGGCCTGGGATCAATGCTTGGCTTCTGTGTGACCTGTTTGTGAGCTTGTCAATATTCCAACATGGATGTGGGGTCAAATTCCACGCCACATTTTTCCCGTGACCGTGTCCCCTTCCAGAGCTCTGGGACTTACTCTAGAGAAGCCGCTGATACAGGTAAGAACCACTTCTGCTTTTATTACAGGAATCTGCTGTTTACAGAGCTCATGCTAAGCTTTACACATTTCACATATCAGTGGCAGCAAACTCCTTTTAGCCTTTTTATTACTTTTAAAAAATGTTTAGTGGTGCAAAAATGATTTATTTACATTTTTTTATCAACTGATCAACATTTGTGTGGCTTAATGGTGAGATTTAATAGTTAGAAATAAAGGTAGGCAAGTTGATTGACAGCAGATAATTGTTATATGTTAAACACATTATGTAAAATTGTTCATAATAGGCACATACTAGGCGCAGGTTGGTGTTGTAAGTCTCCAAAAATGACATGAGGTATGAAGGAATATGTTTGGAATCACTTGGAAGACTGACACAATTAAAGTATTCCTGATTCTGATGGGTTCAAATGGGAGAAAATGACAGACTGTTAGAAT